GTGCTCCGCAACGGGAGAGGCCACAACAGTGAGAGGCCCGCGTACCGTAAAAAAAAAAAAAAATGCGTTAGATTCAGACTGAAGAGAACTCAATCTCTGGAAATGCAACTGGACAGTGTAAAGCTTATGAAGATTTGAGGGCAGGAGCAATACGAAAGCTACAGGAACTGGGAATAAAAGCTGTGTGTGAGATGAACGAAGGTAGGGTGGTGAGGAGAGAGATTTGAGAAGGTGCCTAGTTAGAAGAGCTTTTCAATAATCCAGGCAAGAATATTATTTAGGAACTTTGATTAGGATGGTGGCAGAGAAAATGGAAAAAAAATTGAGATTGGTGTATGAAATATTTTCAGTGCTGAAGGGTCAGGCCAAACAGATACAGGTCCAGAGCTCAGGGTCACATGAGTGAACAATTCATAAGCTTTAAGCATGTGAATATAGGACAAATGGAAACTATGCAGGTGATAACAGAAAACAGGATTCTAGTAAAGGTACGTGGTATATGATAGCCAATGCTGCCTTGCTTTCTTCTGGTACCTACTTTCTTAGAAACTCTAAGGATTTTTATTCATCTTCTAGGGAAATGGGCAGCTCCATTTTATCAACACAGAATTCAATGATGTTCACTTTCTGCCTTCTGTGAAACCTAATCCAGCCTAAATTCTGGTCAAAGTACCCAGTGTTGCATATTAAGCCAATATTGAGAGCAGTGGTTTTAACACTGGGTCCCAAGGAGCCCCAGAGTTCAACCGAGGTCACCTAAAGGGCTCTAGCTGGAGACCAAGCAGAAAGGGCTCCGGGCTTCCTCTCGACTTCAGCACAGCAGCTCCATTTTTATCAGTTTATGCACTGGGTTTCCGCATCAGATCTTTACACGAGAACTTCTGATGCTAAAAGAAGACGTTTGAAAACCCCTATTTAGTAAAATCTCTGAAGACAGGCATCTAGGCCCAAAAGATCTTCCAAATTCTGTATCTATTACCCCACCCTGCCCCGCAACCCCCTTTGCGAGTCACTAGTTAGACCACAGTCACCTGGGCCTGCGACAGGAGGTTCGGGTTTGTGAGACTTCAGGGGATCCAGTCTGTCCTTCTCCAGCTGTTTCCTTGTACTCCGCTGGCGGGGCTCACGGAACATAGGCAAGGCGTGAGCTACGAGAAGTCACATTTGAAAAATTTCATTATGATAATAACCCTTCCATCCAAAAACATAGCTAACGCATGAGTACATGATCATGAAATGGAAGTCATAATGACAGCCTTCATCTAATAATAAAAGACGGTCTTATTGCAACCAATTAGCCAATTTCGTCTGAGACCAGGCTCACTGTTCACCTCTCCTGGCAACTAACGGCACTCAGGAGATGCCGTCAAATACCGTCACAGAAACATTGGTGAGGCTCCCCATCTCCCAAACCATGGGCAGCAGTTAAACTTAGTTTCTGTGGTTTTGAAAAGAAACACTTAATGGGACTGCCTCTTGTTTTTTCTTATAGGACCCAAATGCAAATAATGCCAACAGCTTGCCTGTCAGCCCTGAAGTTTCCTCAGATGCCTCATAAACACTGGAATCACTTCACACATTTCTGAAATGTGACCACCTCTCAGGAGGAGCTGACAGCACTGAGAAACCGGAAGGGAGGAACACTTATCCCACTGAAACTGGGATAAAGGTTGCCTTGAATGCAGCGAGGTGCCTGAATCTCCTGATGTGGTGACTTGATGGGGACTTAATCCTTTTCAATATGGTCGACAAAGGAATAAAAATCAAAGTAATATTTGTCCAATTGTTGTTGCTCAATGTCAGAATTAAATTTCAGAATATAAAAGAAAATATGTATTAAAAAGGGAAACTGTGATATTCTGGTGGAGAGGGAGAAGACTATTGGGGATAGAATCAAATATCTTTTTTTGACCAAAAAAAGTACCAGAATAATTTCTTTGAATATTTATATGCAAATTAAAACCCCTTTAAAAGAGAAAACTGGGGGACAGTTAAAGGAATAATAGGGGTTTAAAGGAAATTTATGATATGAATGACAGAAATGTCTGTTAACATCTAAAAAACACTTCCAGTACCCCTCCTGTCCTCTACCCGTGCTTCCAGCCTGGGCCAGGGTCATATCACTCACTAGTAAAATATGCCTACCTTGAGTCAGGGGAGCTGAAACACAGCCACCCGTCACTCTGTCGGGCAACACGACACAACAGTATTTTTAGGAGGGGGAAAAATAGCTTTTCACTTCAAACGAATGCAGGAATTTAAGTAGGCCGCATGTAATCACATGAGTTAGACTGGTTATGACACCGACTTTAACACTTCTACTCTTGCAAAAAATGTCACCGGATCTCTTTACTGATCATCAGCTCCAAGGGACATGGCCTTAGACGAGACCAACCACCAGGGAGAAAACCCAGCAGTGCAGCGCCCCCTGGTCTTTAGACTGAGCCACTGATAAAGTCCACAGGGGCATCTGCTAATGACAACTGCTACTGCATCCAAGATCTCCTGCCCAGCCGCAACCTGTGACAGGTCTGAGACCGTGACTCTGGGAAACAAAAAACTGCCAAATTAACGAGGCTGTGTGACAAACCCGAGAGAAGCTGCTCTGTCCTGGTAAGATTTCTGATCATACCCCAGGTAGTTCATTTTATATCTAAAGGTCTCTGGATCAGTCTATCACATGGTCACAGAATTTAGGCTTTTCCCTCTTGTGTTGAAAGTTACATGAAGTAACCCTGTCTCCGTGACGGGGCACAGAAGCTAAAGGGGTTAGCTATTATATGACCCCCAGTCCTGATCACATGAAAGGGGTATTTTGTACCATATGCCTGAACTCGGAGAGCATTTTCTGTCTCTAAAGCCATGAGATCAACAGCACACTAGAACAGGAGACAGACGCGTGATGGAGAAACCATTTTAACAACTTACGGGTGATGATGTAGTCCTGGGTTAGAGTCTCCGCTTGTTTCGCCTTCCGCTGTGTTTTAACCACGCACAATTTCGCTCCCCTGAGAGGGGTAAAAGCAAACGATTTTCTTTATTTGGTCTCAGAAACAAAGTCTACGTCAAAAGCATTAGATACTTTCAGGAACATGCTCTGTACACACCACCTCACTGAGTCCTTGACTTTCTAAGGACTGGCAACAGATGGAGCCCTTGGTGATAAGAGATTAAATGTATGGGAAAGCAAGTCTGAGTCAGTGGTTACTACTCTGTGAAAGGGTTAGAAAGGTAACTGGAAAACAAAAGGCCAGTTTAAAAAATCTATAGAAATAACCTAAAATTAAGATCTTAAAGAGATATTAATAACATTAATCAACCTTTTCACCCTAAAGGTCATAGGGTTCAAATTTTAGTTTATGTCTCAGATGAAAGCAACCTAGGTAGTCTACAGCCCAAGTGGCATTTGTCTACAATTCAAATACAAGAGTACAAGTGATCTGGAACTGAGTCAGCTTGGCAGTGTTGCCAAGGGGCTACAGTCCAAGAATGTGTGGGATTAACCAAAAGTGTGCTTAGAACATTTCACTTCTCCTTAGCAATAATGAGCATCCGTTTCAGGAGAAACAAAAACAAATAAGCAAATTTCTTAAAGTAAAGATTCCAAAGATAGGAATCTTCTGAAGGGTGCTATCAAATGGGGTTCGTTATTTTCTCAAGTAAAACAGACTCCCTTCTCTCATCCTAATTACATTAGCATTTTCAATTTCTTTATTAAAAAACAAACAAAATCCTATCTGTTCTTAAAGACCACAATATATAACTTTATTTTATAGGGCAAAGGTTCCAACTCCAGAAAATTCTGTCTGCTTCTATTCAGAGCCAAATTATAGTCAATACATATTCACTAACAGAGGATGGGTTTCCTTTCCCCTGAAAGAACGTGGGAGCTCAAAACAGGTTTACGGGGGACCCCAGTAAATACAGCATGTGAATTTTAGTACTAGCTAACCAAGGCTGACTCTAAAGAAAGAGCTAATCACTCACTATACCTTAACAAAGAGAAACAAAACCATCTTTTTTTGGGTTGGTGACACGTTTACCTTTGTGCCCAAGGAAAAGAGAAATAACTGAGAGACTGACTGAGCCTCTAGTGAAGTTTTCGGATCCTTGAAGCACATTGGTATGCTTACATTTGGCATTTGGGGACAGACATGGGATTGAAGGGGAAAGTAGCTGTGCTGTCCTCCTCTGCTGGCAGAGAACAACCCTGCCAAACATCCAAACCGGCACCTGATAAAAGCCCAAACAAAGAGGGAACAAAACGGACTAGCCGTTTCCATTTCCTATAAGTGGTTAGTTCCCTGCTTTGTTAATCCCTTACATGCATCACTGCTAATGCCACTGTTCAGGGTGGTATGCAAAGTGGGCAGGCCTTTTTCTCCCCTTGCACTCAACATTTCAGCTAAAGAACTGCAAATCCCCAGGAAACTTTCACTTTGAATTCTGTATGGATCAAGGGAGATATCCAAATCCTCTTTAAAGCACAATACTAGGAGTTTGAGGCTTTACTCTGTGCCAGCTGCATTTTCTAAAAGGGTGGATCCCCATCAAAGAGGGAAATAAATAAAAGTGGGGGTGGAAAAAGAAAACTCTCCCCCAGTTGCTGTCATCCATCTAAAACAGGCAATACTTATGAAATACCTCTGACTCTTGTTGGGGTCATAATAGACTTTAGCCAATCCGTTTCCAGTCCCCACCATGATCTGGTTCAGCTTTGGATGCCACAGGCAGCGGACAACACTCTGTAAAGGAAAGGCATGGTAGTCAGCTAAAGAGGGCACATAAAAATGGAAAAAATTCTGCTGCTACTTTGATGGCTTGTTTACGCAACTGAATACCACCCTGATGACTACGTGTAACTTTTAGGGCATGTTCTTCTAAACCATAGGGTTGTGTTCCTGAGGCTGAGTTCTGTTCTATCACTTGTTATCTGTGTGATACTCTATAAAAATAAAAAAGATGCTCCCTTCCTGACATCTCTCCTCTCCTTCCCTGACAGCCTTGAAACCACAAAGCTGGGCTTTCCCAGCTCTGCTGCCACATGAGGCTGGCATCTTAGAATGCTGAACCCACATAACTCAGTTCATTTTACCACTGAAGCAGATTTAGATCTCAGTGTTTTATGCTTTTATACACACAATAAATATGCCCCTCTGGACAGCATATTGAGACCAGGTGGTTACTGTTATTAGTTTACAAAGATCGAAATCTCATAAAGCTTTTTCAGGAACAACACACATTTGCAAACATTGAATAATATCTCCCTATCTATGAGATAAACCAGCAGGTCAGTAGCTGAAGTAAAACAGAGATATGGAATATAAAGCTTTGATATTAACCTGAATGAAAAGCTATTTAGGAGAAGGTTCACTGGAAGATATGATCCTGTGAGTTCATCACTAGTAAGGAAAATAAGTGGTACTCTGGGGTCAGAAAGAACCACGAGTTCTCAGTGAGAAGTACAGCCTGTTTTTAATTTTTGCTGAAGGAAGAGGGCATAGGTGGAAGAGATGGTAGGGATAGAATTAAGGGGGAAAAAATGAAGCTAAGGTTGGTAGGCAGAAACAGCATGTGCTGGGTTCTGCAGATCTCACTCTGATAGAGCAAGAAATGAGTGGAAACATTAATTCAATGATTATCAGGAACCTCTCACGTGCCAGGCAATGTACAAGGACTGAGGGAAAAAGGGTACAATTAGATATTACCATTTTCTGTTCTAATACTAAAATGCAAATCATGGAATTTCTGTCTCCCAAATAATCTAACTTGGGCTGGATTTCTTTGGTTTCTTCTCCCCAGCCATCCAGCTCTTTTCTTAAGACAGAATATCTGGGAATCCCTGTAACCCCTTTTGATAGAAACTCTGGCTCCCACCTGACTGGCCAAAAAAAAAATGCATATAGTTAAATGGCTGCAATTCCTACTCTGAGATTCCTGAGAAACTAAGAAGGAAATGTAAGAGAGTCTGCGGAACTTCTAATTCATGCCTGACAATATTCGAGAAGAGTGGTTCTTAAGCTCTGCACCACTGAAGAGCGTTGAGATGTTCTATTGAGAAAACCAAATCAGAGTGGTTGCGTTTCCCCTGTCGTCGAGGGAAAACTAAGTTCAAAGGGCAGTTTTTCACAGCTTTAAGTTTTCTTTCCACAATTTTTCTTAAACCTGTGGTGCCTGCTACCCAATGTCTACTAGCAAGTGCTAAAAGATGATAAAACATTTATAATGGTGAGGGAATATTAACAGAAAAACCTGAAAATAGTAAATCATATTTTTAGTAAAAGATGAAAATAGTAAATCAAAGTTTGACTTTTAGGGTGTGGGGTGGTTGTTGCTTTGTGCATATGCTCATGAAACTTACTTTATAATGCATGTGTATAAAAAGTCACATTTTCTCCTAATAAAACTGTGCCTGGTTGGTAAGATGGAATTAAGTATATCAGTAGTTCACGGTCTGCAAAGCATGACCTGACTACCAGGTTCTCTGCCACTGAGACTAATTTGAGAAGCACGCCTAGACCACTGGGAATTTCCAGATGGTCAAGGCCAGGTATGTGGAAAGATGAAAAGAGTCACAAACATAACTTCATATCTTACCTAGAATAAGTTCATCCAAGCCAATACTCATCTCCTTCAGGTCTTGGCTTAAGTGTCATAACTACCCAGACCACCCTATTTAAAACTGCAACACACAACTCCCCTTACTTTCCTTGTTTTTACAGCATGTATCCCATTTTAAAGTACCATATAGTTTACTGTTAATTATGCTAATTGTCTGCCTCCCCTACTAGGATATATGTTGCACACAGGCCGATCTTCGTCTGTTTTACGTAGCCAAGAATCCCAAGTGCCTAGATTAGTGTCTGGAACTCAATAAATGTTTGCTGCAGGGATGAATTAAAAGTTACAGTTCACCCAAGCCTCAATGGATTGCTTTGCTAGGTGGAGGTAGAGACAGTTTTCAACTTAAACTCACTACTGCCTAGGAGGGATAATTTGATTTCTCCAGATCATTATTATACTCAAGTACCCCACAAACACAGTAGGGTTAGCTCCCTCACAATGTGGGCCTAAAAAGAGGGATGTGCAAGGACCAGAGAGCAAGGGAGGAAAGTGAGAGGGCCTTCAGAAATCTCAGCACCCACAAATCACCCCAGGACAACTTTAAGCACATAGCATTAAAGTTATTTCTTTTCCTTGGTTCTCTAGAGATCTGGCTAAGCAGTCTAAGATTACTAGTTCTCAAATATGTTTTCAAGTGAGCAGGGTGCAGAATTGGAAAAGATCCACAGTGTAGGCCTGGTAAATTCCAAGACACCCAGCCAAATAGGCAGTTTCCAGGGGCAGCAGGTTACTGTTACTCTCTCCCTCTATGCTGAGGGTGTAAATGTTAGAGAGAGGCAACGGCCCAGGCCAACAGACCAATGTCTGACGGCTTTCCAGGGAGTCCAAGCTCAGGGCACTGCACCTCTATTCCTGTTCACAGCTTTTACCCTCTAATGCCCTTAGACACACACACGGCTTTTTATATGGAAGCAAGGAGAAGGCAAATGAGACCCCTTGAACTAAACAGTCATTCCAGAGCTCCATCCACTGTGGCAGTGAGTCACCAAAGCAGCCAATGAGGACTCTGGGAGCAGTCTGACTTAAGCAAAAGATACTTAAGGCTCAATTACCCTAAGACTGGCTATTAATTAAATATTACAAGGATTCCAAAACATGGAATGAAGAAACAGAATTCTAAGTCAAAGGTGGGTGGGCTTTTTTTGTTTATTAATATTTATTGTGTATGTTTAGCTAACCTTCGTAAACTTTGCAGCTAATGCGGCTCCACACTTTGTCCCGTCAAGGAAATGCATCTTATAGCAGAGAGCTGGCCATCTGCCAAACCAAACAACCCCTGAGACGGCAGCGAGGCTGGGGAGCAAGTAGAGCTGCCACGCTGCTAACTTGTCAAACACACATACTGGGTTTTACTTAACAACAATGGGACACGTGCCTGCTAGAAGCCCAAGGAGCTATCAGAAGACAGATGAGCTGTAGCTACTTAGAAGGAATGCATTCAGTCAGTCAACCATCCACCAAAGACATCTTCCATCCTCTGTTCTTGAAGAGGTACTTCTGTAGCTGGGGGCTTGCCACATTTAGACGTACACATTTGCTGAGTGACACAGCAAATGAAGGGTAGAGAGCACATCTGAATTAAAGGAGCAGAGGAAAATGTCATGACAGGAGATCTGCACGGACCAAAGAGAAAGCAGAAGGCCACTGCAGTGCAAAGAACTAGATTCTGAAGTTAATCTGCATATTTTAATATACTGATTTGCTTAATTAAATCGATAAAGGGTTTTATTCTTACACTGGCTTCCCCTAGCTGCCTAAGCTGAACCCCATGTTACCATAAAAATTAAGTTTAGTCTTTTAAAATTTATTTATTTTTTATTTTTGGTTGTGTTTGGTCTTCGTTGCTGCACAAGGGCTTTCGCTAGTTGCGGTGAGCGGGGGCTACTCTTTGTTGAGGCGCGCGGGCTTCTCACTGAGGTGGCTTCTCTTGTTGCGGAGCATGGGCTCTAGGCGCGTGGGGTTCGGTAGTTGTGGCATGTGGGCTCAGGAGTTGTGGCTCACGGGTTCTAAGCGTAGGCTCAGGAGTTGTGGCGCACGGGCTTAGTTGCTCTGCGGCATGTGGGATCTTCCTGAACCAGGGCTCAAACCCACGTCCCCTCCATTGGCAGGCAGATTCTTACCCACTGCGCCACCAGGGAAGTCCCTTGTAAACCAAAACCTACTGTCATTTTAGATAATCTGGCAGTGCAGAGGAACCACAGTCTGCCCCAAAAGTGCTCAGCTCTAGCGGCAGCCACAAAGAGACAGTAACTGGAGATGGAGATCATAAGCAAGATGACAATAAGTTACAAGACTTTCAAGTGCTCAACACAGAGATCTTTCTTTTCTGTGAAGACTAAAGAAAAAAGAGGGGTGGGGGGCAGAGAAGAAGAAAGCACTTTGTGTACAAAAGGCAGTGTCAAGATTCCAAAACAGGAATTTTGGAATTACCCCTCTACAAAAGTAAAACGGCCACAAAAAATTTCCAAATAATTTATTTCTGTGGTTTTGTTTTGCTTACTTTAAGTGAAATCATGGAAGCAAATAAGGAGAAGAGGAGGAAATCAATGAGAGATATAAATTTACATTTTAGGACATGGTAGGAAAGGAACTATTAGGTATTTGCAACTTTATGTTATTTAAAGTAGTTGAATCCTCACAGCAACACTACAAAATTAGTTATTCTCACCCCCATTTCACAAGGAGAAGAAACTGAGGCTTGCAGGAGGCTGGGTAACTTTCCCAAGGTCACATAACTTGTACACAGAGGAGCTGGGCTCAGCAGGGAGGTTTTCCCAACTCCAGTGCTCATTCCTTTAGACCACCTAATTATGCAAAGGCCTGTTTTAGAAGATGATGGGGAGGAAGGGATGTGGCGGATTTAAAATCATCTCCAAACCCACCTGACCCAGAAAGAGAAGTCTTAGCAAGTTTATACTAAAAAGCAGATGGTATTACTAAAATCATAAGGAAGGAAAAAGGAACTACTACCCCAGTTCACAAATGTTACTATAAAAGAAATCAATGCCCGCATAACATCTTAGGCATCCGTAATGCACATATCTAAACACCACCCTTATTCTACTTCACATGCTAAAAGAAGCCTAACAGCCTTCATAATTTTATATCTTAATCATGATTA